TCGTGGCCTAATTTAAGGTAATACCCCAAAATTTTTCGGGAGGGACTGAGGATCTTGCGAAAGCACGCAATTTGTTGTCCGACAGAACTGTGAATTGTGCGTGACTTCCTGAAAGACAGAGCTACTTATCGCCCTGATGATGGAGGCAACATTCACCTCCGAAACGTATGCAAACGTCTACGAGACCGAACGGGGCAAGAACCCAGAAGACAGACATGTTGGTTAAATGAGCCTCTGCCCCCCCCCCTCCGGCAATAAGAGGTCTGATCGGGACGCTGGCGACGACGGGTGCCGATTCCTAGAATGCATGGAGCTTAACCTCGACGTTTCGTAGACAAAGGTGCCTTTGATCGTAAAGGCGGTTCTGTCCCCTTTGCGGCCAGTAACTCCGAGTTCACGGACAGATATCGGCATGAAACCTCCTCGCCTTGGGAGAAACTTACTTACTTCCTGCAGGTCGACTGGTGCCAAGTGACTTGATGACTTGGGCGACACCTTGTGATTTGACGTCATTTCTTGACGTCATTACGTGCCCACTTGTGAGAGATCAGCAGGTTGTATCTCAGTGAGCAGGTGACCTTTATTAATGACGTGGACATAAGGCGTCAAATGAAGTACAGGAACCCAATGTTCAGTCATTTATTTATTATTATTTACTTCTGTCTACCTCTCCTTGTCTCTTGCTTCTTTCCAACTATTCTTCCTTCCCTTTCATTTGTTTTCTCTTCGTGTTTCGTACCTTTAGTCCTGTTTTTTCTTTGATTCTTACTTTTATCTTCCGTCGCTTTTATCTTTCCTGTTTTTATAACGTTGACTTTCTCTTTTTCGCGTCTCCTTTCTTCTATTACGCCACCTATAGGCCAATAATCTTTATTTGACAAGCCAATGTAGCAAACCTTGTTTAATGATTGGCACAGAACTCTGTCTAACTAAGTTTGACGATTTGACAGAGTGTAACTGTGTTTTAAGAGGAATTCTTCGCTTTTCCCTGCCGATAGTGTTATCTGTTTACATCTGTGGATATAATAGCACGCTCAGCTAGTTAAGAAACTTCCCGAATTCACAGGAGCCCACCTCTGGTCCATATCCTAAGCCAGATGAATCTATTCCACACCCTTCTGTACTGTCCTTCCACACAACACGAAAATAAATGTGGACTGTCGTGTTTGTGTGGTGGAATGTACAGAAAGATACAGGAGCTGGAGACCCGAGCGACCACTGTTTGTGCCAGGAAAAATTACTGAAGAAGAATTTTTTTTTTGTAAAATCCTTCAAACTGAAATTAGAAATGCGTGGGATATATTTAAAAGGCAAAACCTGTATGGAAGCAAACGACTTAGGACACTCAGAGTCGTAGGAGGGAAGATGATATTAAAACGGATGTTAAGAATGTGGTGTAATGGTGTGGACTGGATTCGGCTGGCTCGTAATGGAATCTAGTGGCAGGCTGTTGTGAAGACGGGGATGAACCTTCGGGTTCTGTAAAGGCGGGGAATTTCTTGACTAGGAGAGGTAAAATTAACTTCCAAGAAATAAATCTGCTAGTCTGTTTAAGTTTCTTTGAACGCGCTCCTTTACTTTTCGATATATCGTTGTGAAATCGAACTGCACTAATTTGACTAGTTGAACATTGTGCCGCAGTCGTCATCGTGTCACTGGCTGTAAACAGCGGTCATTACAGCAGAGCTCGTACAGACAGAAAGTACCTGCTTTCTTCTATTTCATAGGTATGTGCACTTACCGGTAATTCGTGTTCCATTAGAGTAGAATATAATTAATTCATATAGTATTTGTTTCTAATACAAACATAAATTACATAGTTATGACAGTAATTTACAGTCAGCTGCAGTATTAACGCCAAAATAATTACGCAAGAAAGCGTACTCACTAATGATTACGTGTATTTATAATAGATGAAAATTTTTAGTCGAGGTAAATTCTTGTATGGAGTAGGAGTGAGAGAGGATGTTTGAATGTACCGAATAAAACTTTACAAATCAGCGCGTTCTGTTATCTTTAATAACGAGAATAATAGAACTGACGAGCATTTTGTGGTTATTAAACGTAATCCGAATGTGAATGGATGGAATGGAGAGTATAATATTGTTATTCAGTTTGACCCCCTCGCAATGTTCAGAACAATGAATATTAAAATGCATAAAACATTTTTTTTGTGTGTGGTTGAGATCAAATTAAATCGGGAGTACAAGCTGTTGTTCAATTCCCTTTTTTTATATTCTCGTATCATCCTTGAAATTATAATGATCAGACTATACAAAACTATAATTTTATCTGTTATATTATATGGGTGTGAAAATGAATATCTTACTATAACAGAACACAGATTAATGGCGTTTTTGAAAAGGGTTAGTTAGTGAAATATATTTGGGCCAAAGAGAGGAGAATGGGGGAAGCTTCATAATTCGTGATCTTCACCTAATGTTAATTATTATGATTAAAATGGAATGGACAGGACATGTGAGAACCAAGTGAGTTTTGTCGGAAACCTGAAAGATGGAATGACTTGCTAGACCTAGACATTGATGGGAGGAAAATATTAAAATCTGCCTTAAGGAAGCAGCACATGAGTTTGTGAACTGGATTCATCTGGCTCAGAAAAAGTGACCATTGGGCAGGTTCTTGTGGTCACATTAACGAACGAATTTGTAAATCCATTATCCTAGTACCCACTTGAATTGCAGTTGTATCATTAATCATGAACGAAACTTGGGACCACCGTCTAATTTATTGATTATTTATTTAAAAACGCTGTAAGTAGGACAGTCACGAAGTAGGAGGGCCAACCACTTGACATTAGCACCAAACGTTCTAAAGACTGTTATGGTTACAAGATGTTAATTGCAGAGGTACTGTATTTCGATCACCTGCGATGTTATGATTACACAACGATTGCTCATGTATACACGTTAAATGAATTTGTGTGGCTCAGGTTAGGGACAAGTGTCTTGCTTTTTTTGAACGTGGTAATTAATCTTCAGGTTCAGGTAACAGGCCGGGAATTTCTTAGCTGATTCCACAGTCATATTTCCATGTTTAACACGCGAACTGAGACGGAAAGCGTCAATTTTGAACTTCCAGCTTTAACGGGGGTGCATTTCGAAGGAGCTGGCTGCGGGATCCTCCGAAACGTCTGCAGACGAAATCGATTGGACACGATGCGATGGCCAGAAGGCTCCGCGCTGTAATCCTGAGCGTTCTGTGCTGACCAAAGCGTTTCTTTCAGCGAAGTTCTGGCATGGAGACTGATGAGCTCCCGTTCGTGGATCTGACGCCGATGTCCCAGCTGCTTGTGTGCCCAGAATGTGACAACCTCTTGGTGCAACCGACGTCGGTCTGCGTGTCGGGCCACACTTTCTGCACTGCCTGCCGCCTCGAGCTTGACAAGTGTTCCACCTGTGACGGGACGTTTCTGGAACACGCCAGGAACATCCTCATTGAGCAGATATGCAAACTCATTGGCAACATGTGTCCATATTCTGCAAGCGGTTGCAAGTACACACTGACAGCCACATTACTGCCTGTGCACGTTTCAAGATGCGTCTACAGAAAGTTGGAGTGCCCGCTTAACAAAATTCCTGCATGTAGTTGTTCATGGTCTAGTGTTGTTAAGAACCTTGTTCCTCATGTGATGAAATGTCATGAAGACAAAGTATCGGAAAGGAATTATATCATGAGCACTGCTTTACAGAGCGATGTGAAAATTATTATTCATAAAGGCGAGGTGTTTCTTTATTACAAATACCACGATGGCGATGAGTGGTTTGCAATTATACAAAGAGCAGGTTGCACTGAGCTGAAGTTCAGGAGTGTTTTTATAATAAGGTCATCACAAAACAAGATTGAAAGTGTCAACATGACATTCCCTGTTACGAGCATTGAAGAAAGCATGGATGATGTCTTCGAACAAGGGCGTAGTATGATTCTGGATGACACTGTAGTTGATAAGTTTACTGTGGGTGACGAAATTTGCATGATGGTCGCTGTTGAAGAGGTCGAATAGTTTCTTTTCTGATGTTGGCAGCCACAATTTTGCTCCGTAATTTTGAAATTTTCAAGAGGGGGGGGGTCCATAAGTGTGGAGGGTTATGGGTTGTCGGTGTTGTATCGGATAAAAGCGTAGAATCTCAACTTCATGTGGGAATTCTGCTTTCACTTCATTTTGCAGAATTTTCTTTGAGCCACTGTGGACTTTCTCCTCTTACGTGTGTTTTTTATAAATATTTCTCTTGATCGTTTGCTTTTATTGTGCAATACGCATTTCGTAATAAAACTTGTATTATATACAGCATAGTGTGAAGTTTTTTATTTTGATTTGGTTACCCTCACAAAGCCCTGTATAATGCTAGATGGCAAAGTGTTCTTTATTTCGCACAAAATTATTGATATCAGGCGGTGTATCTTATTGTGGCTGGACTTTGCCTCTTGGATTTTATGAGAAATATACAAATACGGAACTGGTCCATTTTTATATATATGTGATCGTTCATCACGTATTAACAGAATAAAAAGATAAATTGATATGAGCATGTTGTAAGAATGGACTTTTAGATTGAATTTTATGAAACTGATGCCAAATTACTGTTCAGTACTCTTTTAAATTTTTACATGCATTTGGCCCCAAACGTAATTAGTCTGTACTTGCGTGTTTGTTCCGTCTGTTCACAATTTGCTGAACTCGCTGTACGTGCGTATTAACACAGATTCACTTCACTTCCAATATTTAGTGCATTTGAGATCAAGGTCCAAGGTTCCCTGCGTGATGCGAGGTGTATGATGAGTCACTGTGACTGCGATTGCTTCTGTGGTCCGGTCAAGGACACCTCCTTTCTATTCCCTTACCGGTAAATTTTTTAACGTGTGGCCCGCTAGCTCATAAGCAGGGACGAATGTGTTTCCAGGTCTTGAATGGCCGAGAACCCCATGTCTGTAGTATTTGTGGTCGAAACACCATCGTCAAAGCAGAGTTCGTATTCCATATGTCATTTTTCAGAATCTCGGCTCGGAGACCGGTTATTTTGTTAGGTCTTTCGTGGTTTTACTCAGATTATCCAAATGCCGCAGTCATAGAACCTTAAATAAGGCCATGACTACTGCATCCTTCCAAATCCTTGCTATTCATTGTTCACGAGTCGTCTTAATATTCAACGCTAAATAGTCTGGGCTAATAAATGCGTCGTTAAATAAGCTAAGAACAAAGAAAATTTAAAACTGTCGTTGAACAACGTGAGACTGGTAGCAAAGACAGAAATGCTTATGTACGCCGGTAGCACTGACTAATGCTGTTGCTCAGGAGGTCACCTGCTTTGACCATTACAAACTTCATTAAAATATGGGAACCACCGTTATCAGCCTCACAGTGTACTTGAGTGTTTTACCGTGAATCGTGTAATTCCAAACCACAGTTTGTAACTCACATCCGCTTCATTCCTTTAATCTGCCACTGCTCAGGAACGTGTACATGCCAAGCATGCTACCGTTCCTGTAGCATTTACGAAACCTCGTGTCAAACAAGTTCCTAGAATAACCTACTAAGATTCCTATTGCTTTAAATACAAAATTCAGCTAGAATGCGAACCGGGGAAGACCAAACAATAAACAGACCAGTGACGGATGCATTACCGAGTTTAAGAATACCACGATGAGACAAATCAATTCCGTATCTTCCCACCCTATTCCACCAAATATCTGTTCAATAGAATCCTTCCACCAATGTCTACATGTTCCGACTCTGTCCTTCAGAATTTCCAACCAAAATTCTGCACGAATTTCTCATCTCCGTGTGTGTTACATGTCCCGCCCATCTCATTCTCGTGATTTGATCATTCAAGGAATTCCTGCGTTCACCTAGACAATTATACTACGTTATCTCAATAAGAAATGAAGTTCGCCGTCAATGTAGTGCCCTGCGCTACCGCAGATCCAGTCATTTGAGTTGTCACACAGTTACAAAACGTAAAATATTTTTGTTTTCGCTTGAAATTAATGGCCCCCGTGTCGGGGTTTGATGTCTTGAAGAGGCAGAGGTCTCTATGTTTGCCATCACTGTGTCCAGAACGACCTTTGGTCCACCGAGCCCCTTACCAGAGGCTGCTAGGGTCTGTTTTCTCTGCAGTAAAATTACTGAAGCCTCAAGCTGACATAACTTCCTTCCAGTACCCAGTTTTGAAATATTTGGCAACCTACATCTATACGTCTTCATTTCATGGTTCTTAACAAAGGGGCAAATTTACCTTTCTACTAAACAGTCAAGACCACATGACGTCACAATACGGAAACCCACGATCGAAATCATATCATATATCGCAAGTTGATACATTACGTTGATATTCAAAATGAGAGTTGACATAAATATTAACCTGTGTACTCGATTATTAAATGTTTTGGCGATGGTTAATTACACCTGACCACAAACAACAGACCTAAGTTCTGAAACGCTGTGTTTTTTTAAAATACCAGACGATGCACAAAGACAGAAATCCAGATGAACAAGTATCGATTCTTGATATTGTCTCTACAGAACGCACCCTGTACATATTGACCTCTGAAGTACATGACAGTATTCTGAAAACACCTGGTCTAGTGTCTTCTGAGACGCTTCAACCAGGCTTGCTGTCTTTTGCAGTTCGTCGAAGTGGACTGAGGGTACTGACTGGCTCTGTGGGGACGACTTGGCTTGTGGGTTGCTTCTTTGTGGGACGGGGAAACGAAACATTCTCTGAGGTGAGTGACGAGGGCGATGTCTTGCGAGATTTCGTTTTGTTTCGAGGAAGAACATGGCACATAGTTGATCTATATGATATAAATTATTATTAAATTCCTTTATTACAGTGTCTGATAACAGCAAAGAACCTTTGACAGGCAAACACTAATAAATATGTACATTAAACAAAAAAAGTATTGTGAAAGAAAACAAAATACATATACCCAATCTAAAAAATTATGATACTGTTTTCGCTAAAAATGTCCAAAAATCTACGTTTGTCATTTTCAGCGATGACGCATCTAGCCGAAGGACTTTCTTAATGCACTGCTCACGTATGAAGGCATAAAATTCTCTTACGTACCTTGTAGGCACATGGATGACCAACAGTGTCCATGATGGAAAGACAGTTTATTTTGTCCTTGAAAACATTAATAAAGGAGACGTCATCTTCTGGAATAAATCATTCTAAAATTTAATCAATTCAAAATTAAATCTTAATTACTTTAAATATTAAATTACAAGAAACGCGAAGAACACGAAACTGGCTAATGTTCTTTGTACAATTTTTGTTTTACTGGAATAATAAAAATAATGTATTTGTAGTTGAATATACTACTGAAAAATAATGTAATTCCGAGTTTAGACTCTTCGTATAATTATACCTACAGCAGTGACAGTCTCATATCAACTCCTTTTGTAATAAACTAAAGTATTTTATCATAATAACTTTTATTAATCAAACGATCTAATGGAGCACTTTGCTGAACCATAATACAGGAGTCACTGCATTTTGCAACGTTATTTATTGACAGATCTTAAGCGAAAAGAAGAATGGATTTTCCAGAAGACAGCAAACCAGACAGGAAAATTCCTAACAAGTCTGGGAAACGAAGACATCAGGACCAGGAGAGTAGTAGCGTTGGACATCAAACCGACCTCCCTGACGTTGCGCCTTCGTCAGAGGGACGTCCAGTCGCTACTGTAGAGACTACACCATGTCGGAAAATGTTCGACAAGATTCGGCGACGAAGACAACAGAAGCAAGAGAGCAGCGCCTTTGGACATGGAAGCGACCGCCCTGACCTTGAATCTTCGTCAGAGGGACGTTCCGACGCTGCTGTAGACACTCCACCGGATCGGGAAATGTTCGACAAGATTTGGCGACGAACACAACAGAAGCAAGAGAGCAGCGCCATTGGACATGGAAGCGACCGCCCTGACCTTGAATCTTCGTCAGAGGGACGGAACGTCGCTGCTGTAGAGACTACACCGGATCGGGAAATGTTCGGCAAGATTCGGGGACGAACACAACAGACGCAAGAGAGCAGCGCCTCTGGACATGGAAGCGACCGCCCTGACCTTGAATCTTCGTCAGAGGGACGTACCGTCTCTGCTGTAGGGACTACACCGGATCGGGAAATGTTCGGCAAGATTCGGCGACGAACACAACAGAAGCAAGAGAGTAGCGCCTTTGGACATAGAAGCGAAAGCCCTGACCTTGAATCTT